TTATTGGTCTTGTCATACTTATAAATATGAATTTTGAATAAAGATACCGATACATAATATTTATTATTATATATATACACATATATATATAATATAAATCAAGATAGCCGTTAACACTCTTAAATTATATATATAAATCATCAAAGAAATGTAATACAGTGTTCAAGTATATAGTATATATATATATATATATATATAGGCCTATATAGTATATATATATATATATATATATATATATAAATCATCAAAGAAAGGTAAATACAGTGTTCGAATAAAGGACTTAATAAATACATATATATATATATATACTAATAATAAATATTATATATCGGTATCCTTATTCAAATTTGATATTCATAATTATGTGGTAATTACGTTTATTCAGTACTACAGTATCACTTCTTAGTTTTCTTTATCTACAGAAAAACAACGAAGGTTACTAAGTCAACTTCGCATAAGGATTTGAGACACGTTTCTATTATCGATATACATATTTTTATCATGTTTATTAATGCTTAAATAAAAGATTTATGAAATAAATGTAGTACTGTGAAAAGATTAGTTTGTCATACGTTTGTTTTCTTCTGTTACTTTTCGTTTCCATTCTAGTTCCAGTTTATAATGATGCATATACATTAAAATAGACTGAATGGTATAATGATAAATGAAAACAGAGGAAATATATAGTATTTTCATATTTAAAAACTAGACTCATGCAGTGCAGGTGCCCAACAAACGCTCCAAATCTCCAACTTCTCGATTCATCTTGAACAGTGTGTGTATGGTATTTTGGTAAGAAACTCCTCCTTTTCAGTGTTGCCACTGAGACCTGTGTGTGCGAATAACTTTTGACCAACGTAGGTGGCGCTTTTTAGAACAGTAAAAGTAATGTGACGTGAAAACTCGATGATGGGTAGTTATGTGTAAACTCAATAGGGAGTTATGTATAAACTCGATGGGTAGTTATGTGTAAACTCGATAGGGAGTTATGTATAAAGTTGATGGGTAGTTATGTAAACTCGATGGGTAGTTATGTATATTCAATGGGTAGTTATGTCACCTCAATGGTGGTAGTTATGTCAACTCGATTGGTAGTTATACATAATATCGATGGGTAGTTATGTAAACTCGGTGGGTATGTATGTGACCTCAATGGGTAGGTTTGTGACCTCGATGTGTTTATGTCCGCCCTGGCGTTCCATAGTCTTGAGTATTTTGACATACTTCCTTTTCAATCAAATCTCTACGATTCCTCCTGTAGTATCTACCATCGCTTTCAACTATATACTATCTTGGCGTATTGTGTTTTTCAACAACTAGCGCTGGCTTGAGAGGGCGCTATGGTCTAAAACCAAGGTGACAGTCGATAGCTATCTCTACGTAAAATTGCGCTTTTTTTAAGGATACTGAAAGTGAAAAACCATCTGAGTAAGTAAATTCAATTAGTTTAATGTCAGAGAACACAAAGAGAAACTCCGATCTGTGAAGAAGCTTGTGAATCTTGAAATATTGAGAAATTATTACACATTGAATGTCTACCTATAATCAAATTTTTCCCGCCGTCTCGGTGGAAGGCGTTGCTACAGGCAACCAAATAAACAAAGGCCAATCTACAAAATCCACTCAAGCGGAACGTGTAAACAAAGAGCACAACAATAGTACAGTGAAACCCGTCTTCCTAAAAGCGGACGAAATCCCGT